TCCTAAAAACGGTAAAAAAACCCTAATTCAAACAAAAAAAAACAATTGCAAACCAAATTCCGGCGAGGTCGTGAAGAGTCGTGACGGCGAGGTCGTGTTCGGTCGTGAAGAGTGAAGGCCCGATCGAAGATTTGCTCAGAAGAGGTGTTCGATTTCTGCTCGTGAGGTGTTCGATTTCTGAAGAGTGAAGGCCCGGTCGTGAAGAGTGAAGGCCCGGTCATGTTCGATTTGCTCAGAAGATGAATTTTTGAAGAAAAATTTTCAGTCGTGTCTCGGTCGTGAGATGGATTTTGGTGAAGATGAAGTTGCAGAGCGGGGACAAAATTTTTTGAAGATTGAAATGAATTGAATTGGGGGAACACAAATTGTGTAAAGGTAAAATTGAGTTAGGGGTAATGTAGTAAAAACACATGCCAAAATGGCTAAAAAAGATGTTTTTTATAAAAGGTGGCTAAAATTTGTGTTTTATAAATTTTTATGGCTATTTAATGGTATTAACACAAAATGATATACATTTTCTTTTATGAATCATACCAAGAAGCAATAGTGTTGCAACAAGTCATGTCCTCATACTCTGCTACCACATATGCTTAAACTAGACTCACAAAATACGTCACTTGTAGCCTTGTGAGATCATGATTAATAAAAGGGAGAGGAGCATAACTAGAAACTTAAAAGCCCACTCAACTATTCCTATATACAACTATTAACCAATAAGTTTTTTGGCTTATTTTGTTGCAAGTCATGGAATGCAAGGTTCAGATTTTTACTAGTTTTAGAGAGGATTATTTGCTAGGGTCACACAATAACCCCTTATGTGACTACTATGTGACCAATTACAAGGTTAAATTCATATCCAGTGAGCAAAACTTTTAACACCATAACATACTCCATGAGTTACAATGACAAGAAGCAATTTCAAAGACAATTGAGGCCATTTTAACATCATAATGCATGCAAATGACTTGCGTATGGAATTGGCTAAGCCAAGCCATAGATGTAAATAAATAAATAAAGCAAACTTGTAAGTTGATCAATTGCATCACTCAGACTCACCAGAAGCCACAAAGTAATGGTACTACGATAAATCGAGAATATTCTAAAGGGCACTGCTAAGGCCCTCTATTGTTTAATACAACATGGACAAGGGACGAGCTTCAGATAACAGAAATGGAAGCTCGCATACAAATATAATAACTTGGGGATTACAAATAATAAAATAAGGCATAGATTTTCATGTTTATAAGAGTGTGCTTCCAGGGACTCTAATTGTTAACAAACACAAAACAGATGAAATTTGTTTGTTTGTTTCTACCACAAAAAATCATCAATTAGATTTAGAGCCCACCATCATGGAGTTTCAAGGTAACTTGAAGTCACAAAAACTATACTTCAGCACAAAGAACCTATTAAGGGATCTCTATGCTAACAAACTTATCTTCAACAGCTCTAAATTAATGAAAGTAACACATATCACCAAATCATATCAAACTATTATGAGTTTCAAACTCGTAATGCAGCTGCTTGTGTGAAAAGAAAAACTAAATTCCAATAAAAACTGTTAAATGAGAAGTTGTAAAATCAGTAGGGATTAGATTACACCACACAGTAGCCGAATTCTGCAACATCGTCATCAAATAACCTAAAACAATTCAAAATGCATCAAATCCAAATTCCATTAATCCCCACAGGAACACACAGTTCAAACATCAGAAATTAACTGACAGATCAATCGTGCAAAGTTCCCAATATATCTTCGTCTCGGTACAAATGGTATCTGCAATATCCAAACATCACTCAATCCGTGAAAATGAAGCATTGAAAAGAAAACTTGTAAAAATAAAAACTCACTCTTTGTCGCCCAATTTGACTTGTGTTCCACCATACTCGGGCAAAAGGACAGTGTCACCTTCTTTCACAGCAACAGGGATTTTATTCCCTGATTCGAGAAGAGTCCCTGGTCCAACTGCAATAACTTTACCGGAGTTCAACTGTAGACCAGAAAAAAAAATATCAAATCAGAGGATTAATATGAATATGTAATCAGTTAACACAAGCAAAAAATAGTACCTTGGTTGATTTTTCGGGGAGGAGAATACCAGCAGAGGTTTTTGATGGGGGCAAAATTTTCTCCACCAGAACTCTATTCAAAGTTGGGATCAATCGATTAGCCATTGCTTATAGCCAACTGATGAATTATCGACTTAGCCCTGCAGAAAATTGTTTATCGATAGACGATGGAAGAGAGGAATAAATATAGCAGTGGAAGCTTCTAGGTTCGGGTGACGAGGGGGTTACCTTAGGGTTTAACAAGGGGTAATTTACATACGTGTCTCTCTTATAAAACTTATCTACATGTTTATGATTAGAGAATTTTTTTAACAGATAAGGATCATCATATTATAATATTTTCAAATTTACGAATGCTCCAGTCATCCCAAATAAATTTCCCTAATTATGGCATCCGTAACTGACGCGATTATAAAATGATTTTTATTCAAAAACAAGAAAGACACTTACCATTTTGTATTTGAAAAGTTCGAATTTTTCAAAACTCATAAAATGATCTCCGCTTCTTTTCACTCGAGATCGAACATGAGCTGGGTTTGAAAACCAGAAAGAAAAAAAAAAAATCAAACAACCTACAAAATATTTTTTTTTCGTGCCTTATATGCTGCTCATAAGAATCATGAAGGTCATATCAATTGCGCTTTTTTTTCTTTTTTCTCCTGATTTTTTTTTTCTATGAAGAAGCTCGGGTTGGAAAAAAAAAATTGACCAACTTGCTAGGTATACAGAAGATAAACTGGAAATAAACAACTCCAGAACACTTGGAGCAGTAGAAGATTTTGGCCAGGTATACGGAAGATAAACTGGAAATAAACAACTCCAGAACACTTGGAGCAGTAGAAGATTTAGGCCAGGACGTCGATACACCTTAACATAAACGTTAGTTAAATAATAAATATTCATTCATAAGACCCCGCCATGTTTTGGTCTTTTATATGTAAATTTATGATTAAACAAGAAAATTGACTGAAAAACATAATACACACTTCTGAAACAATTATGAAACGGGTAAAAATTAACCATATAGTTATACATAAGTAAACAACATATAAACAAAAAATTAACCATATAGTTATACATAAGATAAATAACATATAAACAATTCTGAAAACGGGATAAACATAATACACCTTGACATTCAAAAAATTTGAGATTCAAAAAAATTGAGGTTATAAACAATTGAGATTTGACTTGGCTCGGGGGGCTTGAAGGTTCGCTTTCTTTGCCTTCCCTCCATGAATCTCTTCGTTCGTAATACACAATTTTGAATGATTGCAAAACTGTTGTCATTTGATGACCCTCTTCTTCTTGGTGTCGTCGAGCACCTTTTTTTTGTTTGATTTTCTGAACGACACCTCGATCCTGGAGACGACATGTTATACTAAGCAATATAAGTAAATGTTTCACAATATATACTTTAATTTCAACATAATACAACTTATGCTAAATAAGGTATATGTCGCATATACTTCAATTATTTTTTTTTCATTATCTATATATATGTTCATATATACTGTATATATACATTAGATAAACATGATATGACAGTTCTCTAATATAAACCGTATATTTATACATAAAATAAACAACATATAAACAACACTAAAATGGGATAAAACATAATACACAATTTTGAATGACTGCAAAATTTAAATCGAATGTATGTTCAGATATACTGTATATATACATTAGATAAACATGATATGGCAGTTCTCTAATATAAACCGTATAGTTATACATAAAATAAACAACATATAAACAACACTAAAATGGGATAAAACATAATACACAATTTTGAATGACTGCAAAATCTAAATCGAATGTATGACAGATATACTGTATATATACATTAGATAAACATGATATGACAATTCTCTAATGTAAACCGTATAGTTATACATAAGATAAACAACATATAAACAACACTAAAATGGGATAAAACATAATACACAATTTTGAATGACTGCAAAATCTAAATTGAATGTAGTTATACATAAGATAAACAAGCTTCGAAAAGTTTGTTGAGTCTCACTTTGTGATCCTTTGATCCTTTGCTTGATCCGAATACCAAGCTTCACTGCTTGCCTGAGTGCGCCTACATATGTCTATTTTACATGACATTTACAAAGTTCAACCCGCAACTTTGCGTACTCCAAAAAAGAACACAGTATAGATTATGTATAACTAACGTATAATTTGTGTATATGTTTACAACACTCTACGCTTTTCCTCTTCCGTCATCTGCACCGGCATGCCCAACCGCGCTGTGCGCTTCATCTTATTCGGGATATCAATGACAACAGCAACACCGTTGTGGACAACCACAGATTCACCCCTTCGATTCGACGACGCCTCCAATTCAAAAAACTGTTGGTGATCCTCTTCGGTGAGGATGACCAGGCAAGGTTGTACCGCCTCACGTTCGTCCTCAAGGTTGGGCTTTTGAGGTTGACGACAACGACATGACCAAGGCCTATACCATCAATAAACATAAACCCAGATATTCCCAAATCCAAACCTGAACCTTCCAAATCCCTAACTTAACAAAACAAAAGGGCTTCAGGCCAAAACAATTATCAGCATAAACTTCCCCAATTTGAAAATCCCTATTGTAAAAACCATTAGTCACCTCCAAATCAACCAGTAACCATAACAATCATAGACCAAATTCCAATAAAAATCAATCTCGAAAACCAAAAACAAAAAATAGCCCAGCAAATTTAAAATCAAAAAAACAGATCTCAATAAATTCTCACAATAGAGAGAGATAGAGAAAGAGAATCGGAATTTACTTGGCTTCTCCAGCCGGCCGTCGGCCCAATCAGAGATGGCAAAATGTAACTTCTCCAGGGTGAGAGCTTCGGATTTGTAGGGCTCCTTCAAACACTGTCTCACCAAATGGTTTACTTTCTCTTTGGGCTATCGTAGAGGCATGTCCGATCCTTGCTCCAAGGCAAAATTGGAGGAATGCTGGAAATTCTCCTGGAACTCAACTCTTAGATGCAGCCGCAAGTCATGCTATCGTCTCGAAGAGTCAGAGTCATATGTGGCGTTTTAGGTTATATTACTTTAAATAATATAAAATTCGTATTTATAAAAATAAGAAGTGTTTATCGTATTCTTAAAAATAAGATTAAAAGGACCCGCACATGGAGTAATTTTCTCTTTAACAAGGGGTTCTGGTTTTGTGTCTCTTACAATTTGGGCTTGGCCCAATTCAAAGCCTAGTATCGTTAACATAGTACTAGTATGCTACCTGTGCATTTGCACAGATATAAATAAATTATTGTGAGTCTGTATGCATATAATGATTAATTATTTTTCTTTCACTTTTTTGCAGACCAAATTTACTTAAAAGAGTTGGAATATTTTTTTTTAAAATTATGTTTATTTAATTGGATGTAATGTTTATTTTGGTACGTCTTTTATTTGTGAATTATTTATTATTTATTTAAAAATTTCAAATATATTTTTTATTTTCAAAAAAAAAATTAAATGTAACAACAATAATAACATCTAATCACATTATACGGTCAACACATTATATGGTCAACTGTCATTAATCAAAAGTTTAAAATAATTTTTGTAATTTTAAAGTGATGAGTATTAATTATTTAATGATTAAATGAAAGATTAAATACATCAAAATGTAACGGTTTTTGGAGGGAAAATTGTTAAATTGCCACATAGGTAAAATTAAATAGGTTTTATTAAATGTTTTGAGCTAGTAATTATATATATATATAGATTTGAGCAAATTATACCATCCATGGAGATCAATTTTATGAGCACATATATAAAGTAAAATGATACATTGTCAACGTAATGTACAATTAGATTGACAATACAAGTAAAAATATTCAAAAAAATTAAAATAAAAGAATACACAAGTGGATATTTCCACTTGTGTTGTCAACCTAGTTGTACACTAGGTTGACAATGTAACATTTCCTATATATAAATCATGTTATAAACAAGTGGAATGAATCACTATGCATACTAGTGATATTTTACTATTTGGAGAAATGGGAATAGTGAAAAGATATCAATCTTGTGCAAATAATTGATTGGAATGTCGGGAAAGTTTGCCTATAAAAGACACCTAGAAGCTAGAATGCAATTGAAAATATACAGAAGAAGGAAGAAAGCATTGAGTATAATTTATATCCAGTTTCTATATTGAGTTCTTTATCTTTCCAGTTTTTGTAACACGTTATCAGCACGAGCGTTCTACCTAGTCAGAAAGGTAGGAATTTATTAATTAAATTTATGTGTGTGTATATATATATATTTATATATATATATATATACATACATATATATATATATGTATATATATATACATATATACATACATATATACATAGTCAATAATGTGTGGTAAGATGGTTTTATAAGGTTTCTTTATGTATTAATATATGATTAAGAAAAATAACTTCAAATTATGATAAACATGCATAATATTATTACTTGTACTTAACACCCACAAAACAGTTTACTCAGTAATGTGGAGTGAAATTAATAATTACTTATTCTTGTACCCACCGAAAGAATTATCGAGTAGTGTGGAGTGGTATTTTTATTTGTTTTGTTACTTGTATTCACTAAAAAAATGTTCATCTAGTTACTCGGAGAATTTTAAGGTAATATGCATGATTAATTAGAATTTTATAACCATGAATGACATAACTAACAAATATTATATCAATAATATGTTTTTCTAAAAAGAAAAAAAAATCCAACGGCTACTTAACAGCTCTTTTGCAACGACTATTTTTCAATCTATATATATATATATATAAAACTAAACTTCATGTATTAACACTCATTCCAAAATATTAAAGTATATTCTCCTCAAAAGAAAAAAATAATGTCTGATCTATTATTTATAATTACCATTATATTGGTTATTCTTTAGGAATTTTCACGATGTTGTATCATACTGCTGAATTTATATTTCATGTATTAGGTCTTTGTCTAATGTGTTTTTTTATTAGTTGTTCTAATAGGTTTGAATAATGAATGATTTTATATGTAATTTTCTCAAAACTAAGCATTGATGTTGTATTTTATAGTTACCATGTCAAACTTGGTAAAACTCGAGTTTGAGGCACTTGACATCTCTGGAAAAAATTATATTTCATGGACATTAGATTCTGAAATTCATGTGGATGCAAGAAGATTGGGAAAAACAATAATTTCCCCAAATGATTCATCCATACAAGATAAAGCGAGAGCCATGATTTTTCTAAGGCATCATATGAATGAGGGGTTAATAAATGAATATTTAACTGTGAAAGATCCATCGGATCTTAGAAAAGCCTTGAAAGAAAGCTATGATCATCAATAAACAGTTATTCTCCCCCGGGCTCGCCATGAATGGATGTCATTACGTTTTCAAGATTTGAAAAAAGTGAGTGAATATAATTCAGCAATGTTTTGAATTTGCTCAGTGCTAAAATTATTCGGGGAAATAGTGATTGACTATGATATGTTGGAACAAACATTGTCCACATTTCGTGCGTCCAATGTATATTTGTAACAACAATATCAAGCAAAAGGTTTTGAGAAATATTCTGAGCTGATTTCTTACTTGTTGCTGACTGAACAAAAGAATGAGCTACTAATTAAAAATCATGAATCTAGACCCACGGGGTCTACTACGGTCCCTAAATAAATGTTGTAATCTCTAGACACGGAACTGAAAATGAAAATTGCCATACTCATGGACGTCGATATGACTCGGGTCGTGGCCGTGGATGTGGCCGTTATAGCGCCCCGTTATTTTTTATGAAGGTAAAATCCCAATTTTTTTTTAAAAAATATAAATGAAGTTTTTATAAATTTATCGGACTACAATTTTCAATTAAATAAAACAAAGTCAATTTTTAAAAATACAATATTTATTACTAATTATTGAAGAGCAAATTTTTACTTTTAAAAAGTCATTTATCGGGCATTACTCAAAATCATTTTATCTTATCATCCACACATTCAATTCAACGGAAAGTCATTATCTAAACACCTCAATCTCAAAGCACAAGTTAATAATCAACTCAAATAAATTTCTCAAACATCAGTCCAAACTTAGCCAATCGTAACATAGTTCAATAAAACATAATTCAAAGCAATACAAGTTTAAGTCTACGGAATCGAAATGAAGTAGTTTCTTTAGAATTGACCACCACCCATCTGTCCATCATCATCACTGCAAGATTCATAACCTGAAAGAGGGAGGCGGTTGTGGGGGTGAGCAAAGCACTAGCTCACCACTATGCACATCAATTCAATATAATAATAGATAGTAAGGTCGCAGCATGAACATGAATCAATAATAATATCACATCTCCTATCAATCGTATATTACTCATGTGTACATCAATAAAAGCCACTGAAGGTCGAAACCGCACACAACAATAGGATTACATGTCGAAGGTCAAAACCGCACACAATGAAAAGGCCCGTCATTAGGCTAAGGGAGACTGCCTATCACTAAGGCATCGTCGAAGGTCGAAACCGCACACGTCGAAGGTTACATAGTTCACACGCATGCATTAATCATAAAATCTAGCAATTATAATGAATTATGGCATAGTATTTTAGAAACACCCACCTATCCGGATAGACGAAAAAGACGCTACGATCGAGCGGTAGACAAGAAGCTCGACTCCTCAGCTAACACGTTGCTCCCTTGGCTGGGTTCGCCTAAGACTTGGAGTTCCTCCTCTGACGATTCATAATTCGACTCCAAAGGCCATCATCTTTCCTCCCATTCCCTTCTGAGGCGAGCCACTAGGTCGTAGAAGATGACTGGGGCGACTCCTAAGTAGCCCTCGGGTCTCTTCTCGTGAGTTCATCGCATATCTCTTCAGCTCTCCTTCTTCAGATCATTACTAGAACGACTTTGAGCTTCTCGATTCCTTCTCGTGCGTGATGGCACGACATCCCAACCTTTGCAGTTCTTCCCATCGCTCGAACACCTCCTGAATATCATTACCCGATTGGAATAGACGTCTCAGGTGGAACTCTTCGAATTCCTTTATCTTTAGACGTTTAAAACTGTCTGAAACTAGGATCGACTTTCCTGGCATCTCGGTGAAGTCAAAGGAAAGATAAAAAGGAAACCCAAATGGAAAAAGGGTTCGGCTTCTCCATAAAATCCTGAAAAAATAAATCAATTGACCTCGGGCGGCTTCTCACTCGGCCTCAGTTAAGTCGTACGGCTGGCCATGGTCGAAGCCTCGCGGCGGATCGCAGAGGAGGGATTAGTTCAATGTGGAGGTCGAGGTGCGACTCTGATAGGAATGGCGATGAAACACGGCTGCGGGCAAGGTGAATCGCACCCGGTTGCGGCCCGACATTTGCAGCAAGGCCCGCGGCTGAGGGGAAGGGCTCGCGGGTTCGGACGGGGTGGACAGTGGCTGCTGTGGCAATCCCGACAGATGGGAAGGGCTCGGTAACGGCGAGTTTCGCGGCGGGGTGAGGGGTTTATGGGGGTGAGCGAACCACTAGCTCACCATTATGCACATCAATTTAATATAATAACAAATAGTAGGGTCGCAGCATGAACATGAATCAATAATAATATCACATCTCTTATCAATCATAATATCACATCTCTTATCAATAATAATATCATATAATACTCATGTGCAAATCTATAAAAGCTACCGAAGGTCAAAACCACACATAAGAATGGGAGTACATGTCGAAGGTCAAAACCACACACAAAGACAAGACCCGTCATTAGGCTAAGGATACTGTCTATCACTAGGCAACGTCGAAGGCCGAAAAATGGGGATAACCGTTTCGAAGGTTAAGACCGTACACATCGAAGGTTACATGGTTTACACGCATGCATTTATCATAAAATCTAGCAATTGTAATGAATTATGGCATAGTAATTTAGAAACACCCATATGTCCGGAGAGACGGACAGGACGCTACGATCGAGCGGTAGCAAGAGGCTCATCTCCTCAGCTAACACGTTGCTCCCTTGCCTGGGTTTGCCTAAGACTTGGAGCTCCTCCTCTTACTATTCAGAATTTGACTCCGAAGGCCTTCGTCTTTCCTCCCATTCCCTTCTGAGGCGAGCAACTAGGTCTTAGAAGCTAACTGGTGCGGCTCCTAAGTAGCCCCTTGGGTCTCTCCTTGCTAGTTCATCGCATATCTCTTCAGCTCCCCTCCTCTAGGTCAATATTAGAACGGCTTTAAGCTTTTCATTTCCCTTCTCGTGCGTGATGGCGCGACATCCCCACCTTTGCAGTACTTCCCATCGCTCGAACACCTCCTGAATGTCTTTACCCACTTGGAATAGACGTCTCGGGTGGAACTCTTTGAATTCTGTTGTATTTCGACGTTTAAAACTGTCTGAAATTGGGTTCGGCTTTCTTGGCATCTCGGTGAACTCAAAGCAAAACTCAAAAAGAAATCCTAATGGAAAAAAGTGTTCGGCTCCTCGATAAAATCTTGGAAAAACAAATCAAATGACCTCGAGCGGCTTCTCGCTTGGCCTCGGTTCAATTCGTACGGCTTGCCACGGTTGAACCCTCGCGACAGATCACGGAGGCGTGATTGGCTTAATGCGGAGGTCGAGGTTCCACTCCGATAGGAATGGTGATGAAACACTGCTGCGGGCAAGGTGAATCACACTCGGTTGCGGCCCGACGTTGGCAGCAGGCCCACGACCGAGGGGAAGGGCTCGCGGGTTCGTACGGTTTAGACGGCGGCTGCTGTGGCAATCCCGACAGACGGGAAGGGCTCACTAACGGCGAGTTTCACGGCGGGACTGCGTGAAGGAGTCGACCGAGGGATGGCTGGTGTTGTACGGTAGACGACGGCTCGTCTGGTGGAATGCGGGTGGTGAGGTATGCGGCCAACTGAGGAAACGCATGGCCGTTACGGAGACCACGAACACCAACAAGGTACGGCGGTGGGAGGTTCGCGGCTGGCTGCAGGGCTGCTCGCGGACGGGGAGGATGCGCAAACAGGGGTGGTGTACGGAGGTGGAGGCCTGGTAGCGTATGGTGGCACGGATGATGGTGATGTGGCAGAGGAGGGTCCCTGATGCCGTACGGTCTGCTCATGTGTGATAGACACTGTCGACGGTGGCGTGGCCGAAAGGATGATTGTCGAAAAGAATAAAGGGAGATGAGAGCTTTTGATGCAGAATTCTCTTAAGAAATAACAATGAAGGTCGTACGGTGTGTAGGAAAATAAAAAGGCAGGGAGATGGAAAATAAGGAATTTTCCCTAACTTAAGACACAAGAAAAAAAAAATCAAGGTGATATCCTCTTACCAAAATAAAAAGGTAATTAGGGGGGGTGATAAGTGTTAAAGACCAAATCATTGCGTGATTTGGAAGCTGATTTGGGCGGTCAAGGAAGGAAATTTAATGGATGAAAATCATGCCATAAGTGGCCTTTGGTGTTTGAATTTAAAAGTTTCCACAAGAGTCAAAACCAAAGACAAGGGGCGGGAATTCTAAAGCACACGGGATGGATTTCCCAAACCGGTTTGGGCCGAATAAGGATAACAATCATACTTAGGCCGAAAAATATTAAACCTGTTAATGTTATATACTGAAATCTTGACTTTGGATGATATTACACTTTTACCCTTTATGAATAAGAATCTTGTTAGATTAAAGAAGTTCGATGTTATGATGTTTTGTACTTAGATAGAATGGGTCGTCATCAGGCGAACAGAAGATCATTCTGTCAGTTACTTGTGAAACAAGAATTGTGCTTTACAACCTAGATGGAAATGAACACCCCATCCGAACGGTTGTAGTGTCAACGGTACAGTTGGTCTTGACTGATTAGTTGAACTAGTACAATTATGTTGAACAAGATCCTAGAGAGAAGAAGTTCGTTTTATACCGATCGTCGTAAACGAACTAGGTCTCGGTTAATTACTGCGTCATCTTAACCCGTAAGATATTAAATAGACATGTATATGCAGTACATATTACTTTGATTCACTTGGGTGAGGTTCAGTTCGCTGGATTAATATTCTTACTGTCTTGGGTAATATTGCTGTATGTACGATGTGTTGTTAGGATATTTACGGTCACCATGTTTGTTAGTTTGATGATGTCCACGGAGTGAGTTCATGAAAGATTGTTATGCTAAACCCTGTAGGTGGATTACGTTCCGGCATAATCATAATGGGATTAACGAGTACTAGCATCGGTGAAATAATAATATATTAATTAATTCTTGATTGTCAGTAATCGAATTAATTAATGGAAATTATATCTTAAACGTGGGGAGGTAAATCAGGTAATTATAATTGAAGTCGCAAATGTAATTTGGGCTAGGAAAAGGGGTGCCATAATATTACATTAGTGGACCATAATATTATTTAATTAATTGGAAGAGTGGGTCTGGCCTACAGTTAGTCCAATTAATTAAGAAGACCTATTCCTAATCTCCTCAGGATTTCTACTGTAGCTCTATATATACATCATTAAGCAAATGAGAAGAGATAGATCTGTTCACAAATACAGAAATCGGTCGTGCCCCATACTCTGCTCTCAGTTCTCTTTCGAGCTTTATCTTCTTCTTGTTGCTCCACCGGTACAAGTTGAAGAGGTGTGTGAGTAATACAGTAGAAGATCCCGAGGTAATCGAGACCCTGTGATCAACATATATTCGTCAACCCCAAAAGCCGGCAGCCGACCAACCGTCGACCACCGTGAGCCTCGGACCACCGCCTTGAGCCCACGATAGGCGACGGAGCGTCGCCGCGAGAAACCGCAGCTGATGCGACCCGCGAGCCCGACACCCACACGACCCGGTCGTAGCAACCGACCGACTCGTTTCCCGTTCGTGTGATCCAGTTCCATTCGTGTGCTGTTTCTGCTCATCCCGAATCCGACAGATTCAGAAAATTTAAATCCGTAAGTTTTCTACATCAAACCTTTAGATCCGTTGCGCATAGGTTTACGTTTGCTATTGAATTCGTAACTTGTACATAACAAGATCCTCACAGATCCCAAAAAGCTGTATTAGAGCACTTGGTTAATTCATTTTGTACAAAGTTCGAATTTTTACGGCTTTATTTGACAAGATGTGTTCAAGCGCAGCCATATATATTGGATTATATTCACATAACTCGGTTTTGCAGGAATTAGTTAATCCACTTTTATGGTCGATTATGTGTTTGATGAATGTTATTGAATGTGATGTAGGGTTTTAAATTTGTTTTTAAAGCCTCAGACATGTCGAGCAATTGATGGAAGAATGTTTGTAATAATTATTCGCCTGAGTGTTGATTGGATAGATTGAAGGCCCCGTTCATTTATTGGATTTTCGAATATTTGTGGTATTATTATTATTTAATTGCCAAAGTGAAATAATTGTCTGATAATATATTTATTATTGTGTGCAAATAAATATATATAATGTCGGTTTTATTTATTTAAATTTTTTGGGTTGTCGTATTTATTTTCCGAGCGTTAAGTACATATAGTCGGATTAAATCGAGCCCGATAAACCGGTAATCGGGAATTGGGCCTAAGTCGTGGCCTTCGGCCCTTAGCTCGAGCCACTAGAGACCGGCCGACCCGAATTAATCCGACCCGTGACCCGCTCTTTTATTTTTCTTGTTGGGCAAGATTTCCTAAGACCTATTAATCATGAAAACCCCCTCTCTTTTGATCACACGTCGCAACTCTGCATCTCTAACTCTCAAACTCTCATATCTCGCTCTCGCAAAAACAGAAGAAAGAGAATCCAGTTTCCCGCACCTCATCTCTCGATCATCCTCGACGTCGCCATCATCCTCCTCTCGCGACAAACCCGGCGATCCCCTTCGCGCGCAGGCCCCTCTCCGCCGCGACCAGCAGCACCTCCGGCGACCTCTCTCCGCGAGCCTGCAATTCCCGGCGATATGCTGCTCGCGAGAAGCACCATTCGAGCCATTCCCCCCGGCGCACCTGCAACTTCCGGTGAGAACATCGCTGCTGCTCTTCCACCTCCACTAGCAGCCCCAAGTCGAGAACGCCGCTGCCGCGTTTTTCCGCCACGCGCCGCCGTGAGTCGAGTGCAACCGCCGAGCGCCATCGCGGTCAACCCCCATCAGCCTTCTCTCGACTCGTTTTCGTATAACACGAGAACGGTACATGAAGGCTCGAACCTCTTTTATTCTATGTGTGTATGTATAATTGTTAAGGATCCTTGTGTTGCTTCATGATATAATTTTTATATGTATTGTTGAAGAATTTCGTGTGTGTTTTGATGTTGAATCCTTGAATATTTGGGGTATTATGTTGAAGGTTGGAAGTTCATGAATGTTTATGATAAATTCATGTATTAGTATGCAAATTTAAGGTGTTAATGAGTTGTTTATGCTATA